GTTTGTGATAGCTGAAGACAAAAGAAAAACACTCTAGAAATGGATTAATTCAAGTTTCTCTGATAATCTTAGCTTTTGAATTTCCTCTCTTTTGATTTTAAATTTATGGCCTCAGTATGACATTACCAGAGTTTATTGCATTTTGCAGGTGGCATTCATATGTTTTACTTTTTGTGTAGTATGTTGTGGCCAGTGGGTTACAATTTTTTGTTAAAAATTTCCAGAACCACACAAGTACTTTTTAATTAGACTTGCAAATGAGTAATGCCTTTCTCGAAGGGGAGAAAATAGTTAAAACATTACAGGAATTTTTACGCCTTTTTTCCTTAGTTAGAATTGAGAAAAGTTTGCAATAAAGTTTGCTTTTTGAAACTGTGACATTTTTTCCTAAGTTCTGATTTACATATGAAGTCATCATCTGATAATTCCAAACAAATGTCTTTTTAAAGCATACCGGTATTTGTTATGTGTTTCTGTAGCTCAAAAAGGGGCTAAGAGATTTGTCTTGCTTTCTGCCATTGAAAACAGTGGAAAGTTGTCATCTCAATGGCATTTTTAATATCTTGAATAATTTAATAATTGCCACCTTAATCATAGATTTCAGTGGTACAAACACTACCCACAAATCACCTACACTTTCTTCAAAGAAAACAATAAACAAATAACAAAAACAATAACCACAAAAACAAATAACAACAAACAAAAACGATAAACCAGACAATATTATCAATAATGTTAGCACATAAAGTAAAGAAAGAAAGCATGAGGTAACACAACTTTCAGATAAAACCTTTATAGTTCTTTTCAGATACCATAAGATCTGGAAGCAGATTCTACTTCCTATAAGTATATTTTTAGACCTAAACTGACCCTGTACTTAGTTCCAGGAGAGTCAAGATTCCTATCATTATTCCCATGAGAGATGTCCATTTCATACGGTATATGTAAATTCTTAAAAGATTTCAAGTGATTTCATTTGGCTTGTAAGTAAAGACCTTGGCTTTTTTTAAAGCTACATCATTTAATAGTCGATGATGAAATTTCTTTCTTATGAGTATTAAATTATGCCAAAAGCCATTTACTCGATATTCTTTAAATACGATAGCATGATTCAACCAAAGCTCAGATTGTAAACCATCTTAAATAACACTAATGCAATGTGCACGTAATGAACAATGTAACTAACTTAAGTTAATTCTCATGTAACAGATAACATCTGGGGGAAATATACATTGGTAAGTTATGCAAAACTAATTTTCTAGCCACCACATCTGTAGATGTTATTTATTGTATGTTCACTTAACAGTCCATTATTCTGTTTAGAAATCTATTCTCTTCTTTATTAGAGCTTTTAATGTACTCACCTTGGTTCAAATGGTCTGCTCATTATCAGAAAAAATATAAATGGCATTCACATGGAACAACATGATTGTTTTTATTATATCCATTTGTGTGCAAGCATTCAAAAATGGCAAGAGAAACACATTTATTGCTTTACATTCAAAGTAATATTTAGGGGATATTTGAAAGTCAAGCAAAACCAATCATTTGGCCAAATGGATGTATGTGTATAATCAGAAACTCCTGATTTTTAATCTCAGCATTAGGCCTCAGGCAAGTCACTTAAAGTCTTTCCCTTTGTTTCCTGATCTGAAGATTATGGGTGCTATTCTCTTATAGAAGAGAGGGAGGTTGCTAAATCAGGGTACCAAATAGGAGTGTTTTTTTAATAAACATACTTGATCCTTTTTCTGTTTTTATTTTTCTAGATTTAAGAGGTAACATATTAGACTTTTGAGGAAAAGAAATATGAGACAATTAGAATTCTACAGGAATGTATAAAAATAGTTATAAAACTAGCTTTATTTAATTTGCTTCAACTATTCATAGACTTGAGGAAATTATAATGTTCTTTCAGAAAATCTAACTTAGTAAAGCTGACCATGTCTCTCTGTTTTAAATAGATTTTATTACAGAACCAGCGATGTTGTAAAACATGAGGTTTTGTTAAAAAAAAAATACAAAGGCCTAATTGTATTTTTTTAAAGAAAGTATTGCATCAGACGGTTTCATTTAAACATATTTGCTGGCTCTGTGCTCTCACCACAATTATTGATTCTAATTTTCCTTGAACTTATTTTTTGGAAAAGCTACTTGAGGGGAAAAATCACTCTGATGCTTCTGCTCACTATGTTTATTTCAAACTAGATATTTGACAGTGTACCTTCTTTTTCTTAATGAAATGACTTTATATCTACCCTCATCTGAAATTGGGATATTTCTTTCCCTTACAGTATCTTACTAACATAGCCAAATGCCACCTTCATGAAGGGAATAAACATAGCCATGGTTTAGTTCATTGATAGTATGCCAAACACCCTGAAGAAAAGAAATTCTCGCCCCCAGTTTTTGTGCATGAATTAAATCAAATGAATAGCTTTATGAGCTACACTCATACAAATCAAGAAAAAGACAAGCCCAACTCTCAGTCAGAGCTTCATGTTCTGAGGGTACACGGGAGCTTCACTCCACCAAAGAAATGATGACGTGGAGCTGAGGAGTTCCAAGCTTCCAGGTGTGTGCCTAGGTCACAAACACACACACACACACACACACACACACACACACACAACGGTGCCAAAGACCAGGAAAACTGGGTCATTGGCAAGTAGTTCAGGTGAGCCTTATAAAGATATCCAGAGTGCAGGGGTGTGAAGGCTAAAATGAGAGACTTGAGCACGACTACCTGCTTGTGTTTAAGTGTATAATCTGATGGAAGAAAGGTCACAAGTGGGCCGATGGTAGCATCTGCTACGACCAGGTTGGAGAGGCGACCTGTGGAGAGCTTACACCGAGTGGGGTCAGAGAAAATTAGCAGAAAGGCCTAGCTGTGTATGGAAAAGCGTAGCAGCAAGACAGATGGGGCAACAGCAGCAAGATAAAGTTCTGCTTTGTTGAGAGAGAATATTTACCTTGCAGATTATCTCGTGCTTACTTTCTTAATACCCGTAATAAATTCAGTAAACTCCATTCAATTCCTTTCTCTCTTCTTTCTTCAATGTCTCACTCACCACCACTTCCTCAAAATTTCTATTTCTCACCCTATATTAAAGTCTGTACCACTAAATAAATACCTCATCATCTTCCCTTGTCTCCGGATTCCCATGCACAGCTTATTTATTTTACCTATAATGTTTCAGGGACATTGAAATTGGTTCAGCTGTTTCATTTTCCTAGGTTGGTAAAATAAAGAGCAATATAAGATGTGGGAGGATGAAAAGCAAGCATGGTGAAAAAGGTACAAATAATTTTGTGGGAAGATGAAAATGCTTGTATGTTCCATTTAGGGAAAAAAAAAACAATGGCTTATGAATATTGTGAGAGAAAAGAATCATTCTGATATGTTTTCTAGATATTCTATTTTGATTAACATTTAGTCAACTTAAGATAAACAACCTGGAATGATGTCATCTAACAGAATAGAGATTAAGTGCTTAATACTATTAATAATTTCCAAGTGTGGCAACACGACATATTAGAGTTTACTGGAAAGTGCACAGGCCAAGAAGTTGGCATACCACGGTTTAACTCCCAGCCCCGTCACTAAGTAATTAGTTGACTTAAAGCCAATCATTGAATCTCTTGGTTTCCAAATTTCCTTGACTATAAAGTTAGGACACTTCTGTTTTTCTATGTATTTATACTAAACATCAACTTCTTACAAAATCAAATTAAATTAACAATATGAATTCAATGCAATGTACGTTGGTATGATCAAGCAATAACTTAGCCTCTAGGGCATCCCAAAACCTTCTAAAGAAAAAATATTAATATTTAAATGAAATATTATAACACGTAAGTTTATTTGAAATATTGTGGCGAACTTAGAAATGAATGTATGCTGATTTCAGAGTTTTTCCAGGCCTCGTGAGATGGTAATTATTTGGTAATTTATGCATTTCTAAAGTTTTGTCTTCAAACTTGTAGGCTCAGGGTCTTACTTTGTCAGCATACGGTGTCTGACTCCATCTCAGGACCATAAAAACAAGCTCCTGAGAGCTTACTATATAAATTAAGACAGCAATTTATTGATTTAAAGTAAGGAATGTCATAGACATGAAAATCAGAGCACTCAAGTGGGCATGTCTTTATAGATCAGTTGAGATGGGAAGTCAAATTATGATCAAAATGTTGCTTGTGAAACATGGAATCAGAACAACAGGAACTAATAAAATGACTCAATGTTTAATGCCGTCAGTAGCCTCATCTCTTTCTCACCCCCAAGTCGTGGTGGGATGGACACTGCTTAACTTGGCTTCTTTGACTCCTATTTCTTTATTTCCACTGTTGACCAGCTATCACCCTCCCTCTGGTTGGCACGCTCTTGCTGCAGAATTGTTAAATACTTACGGTGAAGTCTTGCCCTGCCCTCTGTGTTTTGGGTTGATTTTGCAAATCTACTCTCTGATTTGCTGTGTGCTGGCTTTATACATTACTCTTTAGAGCCTTTATTGTCCTTATCACCAAGCTCTTTATGGCCGCTTCGCCATTGCCCCCAAGGACAGCTACACTCTGCTGATAATATCGATAAACATCAGACTGTTACTGACTCTGCCAGAACTGGAGAAGGTATACAGAGGATCTAAAACATGATCTCTACCTGCAGAAAGCTTGTAGGCAGGAGGACAGGGACATTGACGCATGGAACAAAAACCAAGGTAATACAAAATGACATCCTAAACCACATAGTATAATAGGAAGAGAATAAGACAGTGGGAAAAATAAAATGCTAATTATCAGATATGGAGCACAAAAAGCACTAGAAAACTAAGAGGGCAATGGCGTCAAGAAATCAGAGGAGATAAATGACTTAAGATGACCAAAAAATAGACTTGGAACTTGATATAAATACATATGTATTTATATATACAGGAATTGGCTGAAATTGTGGTTACTCACCAAAGACTTTGTCATAATACAGCTGTTTTCTTCCCTTCCAGCAAGTGATAGAGATTGTCAAGCCTTCAGGTTGCCTTTTCCCTGATCCTCTAGAAGAAGGAATCTCATTTGATATTTACTCAACATTCATAGAGCCACCCCCAACACTGGATACAGAAATGAAGGTATGTTCCTTGTCTCTTAATTCCCCTTATCTCAGGATTATATTCTCTAAGGGCAAAAGGAAAGGGACCCATGCTCTTCCATTTTCTTTCCCTCTGACTTTTCCTAGCTAAACATAAATATTTCTTTTAGCATTGATTCAAAGGTGGGCCAGCTGAGGGTAGCTCAGCAATTTTAATCTCTTCCACTCCATCCTCTTCAATCTCCATCTTCACATTCCCAAAAGTAGGCACTGCTTAGCATCATGGCTTGATTCAACATGACCCTCATGCATAATGAAAACGCAGGATAACATCAAATCAAAATGTCCCTCCAGGCTGACATTATTCCTGGTAAGAAAGTACCCGAGAGAAGTTTGAGGTTACATATAAATCACTGAATGCTCCAGAAATCACTTGAGTATTGTTTACTTTCAATATTCTAGGGGCTGGATCAAGAACAAGGCGCTGTGGAGTCCCAGCCAGAAGCCGACACTTCAGACACAGATCTTTTAGCTGGTTTCACCATTGAAGATGTAAAATCAGTGCTGGATCAAGTCACAGATGACGTTTTAATCAGCATTCAGGTACTCAGCCTTGATAGTGTGCTCACTTTCTTTATTACTGATTAATTAGCCAACCTCAACCTTATTGTCTTTAAACACTACCCACACTCTGCCAGCAAGAGTGATGTTTACGATGGAGGAGTTCAATTTAACATCTCCACATAATTCTCAGTTAAGTCATCTGAGGCTCAATAAGACCACAAAATAGATTTGCCAACAGCACATGGTATGGTGTGGATTATCAGTTTCTAAAATCATTTGACATTGAAGCCCAAAAAAGAACATGGTAAAGACCTTGTCTCTTGTCACCCTGTAAAGATTGCTCGTGCAAGAGCGATTGGAATACATTTCTAGACAGTAAACACTGAAGATCAAACCATAATTCTTAGCTATGTCTTCTCACCAAATTTCTAAAGAGAGGCCTTCAAATCTTTGAATTCCCTCTCAGCGAGTTTGTTCCTTTTCACATTGCGCTAATAGCTAAGCAATTTACACCAATGGCTGCATGAAAATGGTCATGGCAACGGCCATCTCAGTGGCAACTGCCAATGATGTATCAGTCAGCTTAGCTTTATGCTTAATGTTTTTCCTGTCCAAAATAAACTCATTTCTAGCTCAACACAGACTTGTATCATTTCCTAGGCAAAATGATTAAATAAGCGAATTGCATATTTTGAGAGGATTTATAATTTCTTGTGGAAATGACAATGAATCAATGGGACAGTATACTGCATGTTTAAAATATTAATGCAACTCAGAAAGATTTAGTTGTTATCTGAACATGAGACTATATATAAATAGCTCACTGTATTAGCAACTAATTTAGAAAGAGCAAAAGATTAGCTTGGCATGAACATACCTTAGTATTTGTTTAATCATCAAATGTTAATGCACTATTTACATGGGCATTTAATGATTTGATGCCAACAGAATCAGCCAAAGTCCTCGGTTTAATAAGGGGTGTTTAGTGTTTACCAGTAATAGTGGAAGAACACGTTTTATACAAAGCTTTATTGTTAACAACCCCATGAATGTAATAACTAGTTACTGTATAGAAAGGCAAAGTGCAGTTGAATTAAGCTGAGTTCAGAACATATCTCCTTTTTAGATTTGATAACATTTCATCTAAATATAGTTTATGTATAATCATGGCCCTGGGCTCCTTTGCAATCCTGCGGCTCTGAAATGATTGCCGAGGAACTACTAGACAGTAATAGAATTGTTTGCAGGCCCAAAAAATTGAAAACATCTTGACCAAGGCCATGTTCCATGTAGTGAGCAATATGTTTTTAACTATTCATTGAAATTTGTTTTTAATATTAGGGTCTGCAGCATTTATACCGCTACTCTGTAACAGAAAGAGTATGATTGCTATATGTGTGTGTTATTGTCCTAGTGGCCTGCAGCCATCCTTACTGGGCCTGGAAGTTCATTAGCTGGCTCATCTAAATGTCATTAGGCATAGGAAGAGCTTGGACCAGAGGTGAGGGATGCAGATCCTTTAGGTGTCATGATCATTTCCACATTAAGTAGATTCATGGACACTCGCCTGGGCCAAATTATTGCCAATTTTTCAATAAAATGGCACGATGATGTGGACTTATACAATGTCTCAAGATAGAAAACCCCTTTATATGTTTTCTCTCAATAATCCTAGTGAACTCCATGCAAATTAGGCAGAAATTTCCCTGATAAATAAATTGAAAAATGAGAAAGAGAGAAGGACTAAGTCATTTGTCCAGAGTTTCCACGGTCGGAAACTGATGAAAGGCCCTGAAAGGAGGCTGTGAACTGGGTTCTAGTTCTAATTCCAGTGTTATCCACAAAAACCACATTACCGCTTACATCACGACCAGACTACTATGGATTTTAATACTCCCATGGTGTGGCACTTTTTCAGTGTTTACCCTTGTGTCTTGATCAAATTCCAAATTGGGTAATTACTCTCTGCCTAGCCAAATTTCTCCCCTGTTTTAGAGGGGTAAGTTCTTTTCCACTTCTAAAGCCTGCCTTCCAACGTTCCTGGCTCTAAAAACTGCTGCATTCTTGTTAAAAGGTAGCCACATGGCAGTGGTCAGTGTATATAAGCCTTCTGAATACACTGACCTGCTGTAGGAACATTTAATGAATTATTATTTGTAAGACGTCTTAAATTTTCCAATAGTTTTTTCTCCTTCTTTATTTGAAGTCATACTGTTGTTATAATTTTTAGAGGAAAAGGCAGTAAAGAATTCATGTTTTAAGTACATGTTTTTCAGAGCTCCTTCTCCAGTGTGGTTACAGGCATCTTTCACTTTCTATAATTCAGACATTTCTGAAAATGTAGTGCAAATCCTTAAATTTTTATGTTAATCCACTTACTCGCCTATTGACTCACTTTATAGTTTTAGAAATTTATTAAGAATGAAGTTATCTTGGCCCTGAGATGTTAATTAAAATTATACTGAGCAGAGCAAACATTTTCAGCTTATATAGTTTAGGTTTTTTAATTTTAAAGATACATTCAAAATGAAATTATTTTGGCCCTGAGTTGCATAATAAAAATTATGCCCAATAGAGCAAACTTTAATATATTTAAAGAATTACATTTCAGAGAAATATGAATGCTAACACTAAATTTTGGCATTAAACGTTGGCTGTTGGCCATGTTCAAGCAATAGGGTAAAATAATGTGAAAATCCTGAGAGAAATTGGCCATCTTGGGACCATAGGTATTTTGGGGTCAACTTCAATTCCCAGGTTAGATAAGCTAGGTGGGAGATCACCTCAGGGGAGTGATCGCTGACAGGCTACTGAAGCCAGGGCATGAGTTTTCCATTGTTTCCTAAAAGAAAATATGGCCTTCCCTATCCTAGTGGTTGTGGGATAACTTGTCTATTGAGCAGTGTTCTGAGGAATAACATGGAGACATGGTAGACTAATGACAACCTAGTCTTGACCAGACAAAGAGTCTTTTCATCCAGACCCTGCTGGTTGTGCCTGAACTGAAGTACTGATCGCCACTGTCTAGAGACCTCCCCTCCTTCAGTACACTGCTCTATGGGGGGGACCCTGACCTTCATGAACCTTCTCCCCAAAGCCCACACTTACATCAATGAATTCTGTTTCTGTGAAATACCAGAAAAGTTGACATGAAAACCATGGTGAGATAGTGAAACAGAAGCTGGTAGATGAAAGTACATCTGTCCTTAGTTAAAAAGAAATGAGATTATTGGTGGACATAAAGCAAATTAATTGACAGTGGGAAAAATCGATCATTTAGTTAGAGCAGTGCTTCCTAATCCTTTGGAATTGTGACAAGATTATTTCTTCAAACCATTTCAGTTCCTATATGGTCTAATGTATGACAAAGAAGCAGGAGTAACATATTTTAAAATATTTCAGATGTCATAGCGAAATATAACATTGGTGAATATATCACAAAATAAGGAGCTAGAATCATGAATTTAAAAGCCAGCATGTAACGTGAACATACTTAATTTTCAACTACTTAATTTTGCAGATAAGAACTAGCACCCAAGGTAGTTAAGTGACTTGCCAAAAGCTACATAGCTAAACTAATCTCTAGGTCCCCATACCCCTAGACCAGTGCTCTTTCACCTCTACCAAATCACACCTGAGGGGTTAGTGATTCCTACAAGATGACAGAGTTCCTTTGAAACCTGGAGGACCGTGTTCGTCCCTCATTGTCTCCTCTACCCAACCACAAAAAAAGACGAGCAACCCGAGGCCAGAGGTCGACCACAGGGCTTGATGAAACTTGAGCCGGAAAAGACTGATACTCACTTGAGAATCCAGAATTGTTGACACTGATGTGATCTTTCCAGAAATACGTATCAACTCTTACTGTGAAGGTAAAACAAAATTTCATCAAACAGGGCAACCAGGTGGACATTTCAAAACTATTTATTATAATTACACTCATAAATAAATAAAAATGAAAAGTTAGTTATGCCTGGACCAAAAACAGTATTCCATTTTTTAATTTATTCTATATAAACTAAAATAATAAAAGTTTCTCAAAATATAGTTACCCTGAAGACCACAAATTATGTTATAGACATTAACATTCTAAACTTGGAATTCTTTACTAATACTTGTGTGTATAAACTACTCCTCATACACTTGTAGACTTTTTTAAATTGCCTAAACAAAAACACCAAGTTTACCGCATCGTCCACCACCGTTTCTCTCTCTATAATTTTATCATTCATCATGAAAAAGGGAGGACATTTCCAAGGCTACTAGTGTTCAGATAATGTGAAAGTATTTTTGGAATTGTGCAGGTAGCAATGTTGGTCCACAGAATGTCAGTGCCAGAGGCTAAATGCTATCACAGCTGCAGCAAACACTAAAACCTGTCAGCAGTCGCTTACTTTTTCCTCCCGAAACTATACCACAAAGTGGCATAATTCCAAGAGTTATACTGTATGATGAATACTCTTAATTATGAGAATTGTTCTAATTGTGAGATTATTTGTGTTGTTATTTCACAACAGAAGTTCTCTGTGATCCCATTTAGAATGTATTACACAGGAGACAAAACATCCATTGCGAAGGGGGGGACCGACCACACCGCAATAACTGAGCCCTGAGCAGTTATTCTGATTCGGTGCTTATTGGTAAAGTCTGTCTGAAAATACAGATAAATTATCCTATCTTCCAACACAAGGCTCTGTGAAAAATGGCTGTCCAAATACCACTTCCTGTTCATAGCAGACATGCTATACATTGGGAATGTGCAGAGAAATATGATAAAGTGTTATCACATCACTACAGGCTGGAACACGGCTATGTCTGCAAAACAGGAAGGTGTGTGAGGGATAATGTCTGTCTTTAGGCACTATAGTATGTCAAAACCACAAAGACAATGTGCAGCAAAAGATAGCTCCATCATAACCACTTTTTTATGATTGTCTTCACAGACCGAGATAAACGAAAAGCTGCAAATACAGGAAGAGGCCTTTAATGCACGAATAGAAAAATTGAAAAAGGCCTGAGGACTCAGTACAAGGAGAGCGATGCTAAACTTCACAGAAACAAACAAAACCAGCCGGCATAATAGACTCTAGAGCATCACATTTCCTTCATTTAGTTAGGAGAGGACAACCAAGCCCCGCTTTTTATTATCCTAAGCCTTAGAAAAGTATTGGCCCCAATTTTGCTATCTCCTGTCCCATAACAGCCTCTGAATTTATTGCACTGAGTGTAATAAGAACATTTTGTATACAAGAGTTTGGAGAATTATATGTAAAAATACAATTACTTTTACGATACTCCTTTGACATTTTGACTAATAAATGCTATTCATCTTCAAGAAGAATGAAACTGACTTTTTTAAATAAAGAAAAATAAAAATAATTTTGCCTATATTGACCCAAATGAATGGTCAAATTACTGTGGCCCTCAGAACAGATACCACTACCGCACTGCTGAGGATAAAACTCGCTAAACTCTGGCAATTCAAATGCATATACTGTGGGTTTTTTCCTTAAATCGTTTGGTTTTCTTATTTAAACGTTTCAGTGTGAAACCAATTTTCTGAAATTATATAATGGAGTTTGAAGCACTTTAATTTATTCTGTACTGTATTTGTTATTTCTAATCTTGTTACTCTCCCAGGAGAATACGTGACCTATATAAAAAGAAGAAATGTATAAATGGTTATTAAAGACCAACCTATATATAGATTGTAAAAATCTTAAATACAAATCAAACTCACAGAGCTCTTAAAATTAACCATTATATTGCAGTAGAACGATTAAAAACATCTCAAGCTTTTAAATACCTTTATTAAAATATAATTTTAAAAGAAAAATATCCATTTGCCAACTGACTGTCCCTAGTTGGACAAATTAAATGAATTACTATGTAGGCCCTTTCCAAATTTCTTAGACTTCAGAGTATTCTAGAATGGAGAGCATTGCTAAGAGGGGGACAGTTCCTTCCAGAAGTTTCCACGTTATACCGGAACCAGATGTACTTGCATCTGGGTGGAACCTGGTTGAATGTGTTCTGTCTGTGCTCTAACCTTGGGCTATAACCTTACCTTTTCCATCAATATCAAAGGGATTGCCCCAAAGTCATTTAGGGTAGAGACAGATCTGACAGCATTTGGTAATTTTCTAACTACACTGATCAGCAAAGTAAGAGTAGTCCTTAAGATGAAACCATGTGGATTGTTCATGCAGTTCCGAGTCTGGAAGGCCTGGAGATGTGCTGAGCTGTGTTTCTTCCTTAGCCGTCCTTCCTCACTGAAAATGTTGATGGCCATCAGAGATGACAAGGAGGGCTTACAAGTCTTGATTCCATCAAGCAATCTTTTCTCCAGGGAAAACAAAAGTGAAACTAGAAAAACCACGAATAGGGAATGAAGGAGCTTCTAGAAATCACCAAACAACTTCAAGTGCAGTCATCAGCACAGAGGGAACCTGCATTTCTAATAAAGAGTGCTTATTTTGAGCAAGGGTACCAGGCATCTGAAGCTGAAAAAACGATAGCAGTAGGATCCCTGAAAACTACACAGAGACCATATATTATAAGCATTCCTAAAGTGTGCCTTTGGAGTAAGACGCCAGGGCCTGGTACTGGCTTCACCATGTGACTTCAGATAGGCTTCTCGACCTCTATGTGTTCATCTATTAAAGGGGGATAATACTTATTTTCAAGGTAGTTATGAGGATTCAATAAATTCATATTAAAGGAAGTTTGTTGTAAGGTTTGGTTTCTGTTTACCTCTTAGGATACCTGAAAAGCCCCCGCCTATCCCTATACCTACTGCCCAGTCTTTGATCAGCCTCTTTGCCAGAAAGCCCATCCTTCTCTGTCTCTCTACTGGCACCTGTGGATCAGTGTGTCCTCTCATGGTAACTACTTTGCCACTGTGCTGTCCTACATCTTTCACGTTGGAGCAGCCGGGGGATCTCCGTGACAGCCTAACTTTAACATCTAATAATAACAAGAGAAGGAGCAATCATAGTAGCAGTAGCTGTGAATTTTAATTCACAGTCTCCGCTCTTTTAAATTAATTTTAAATTGATAGAAGAATATACATACTCAGTTAAAAAAACAACAACAAAGTGTAGATAATGAAAAAGAAATTTCCAAGCTAGGTACTCCCATTCCTCTCCCCATGAGGCAAGCACAGCTTTCAGTAAATCCTTAGAAAAGTAATTTTTATCCATTTAAACAATTGGATGCTTGTATAGAGTGGCTTTTTTTTTTTAAAACATAATTTGCATCGTTCTTACATTGCTTTTTTCATCAAATAATATATCTTGGAGATAATTCTCTATCAGTACACTTTAATGACCATGTAGTATTTCATTTTATCAATTCCATAACTTTTGAAACTAGTTCTATTGATGAACTTCTTATTGTTTCCAGTACTTTGCTGTCACAATGCTGCATTGCCATCTTTGTGAACATGTTTGATTGTACCTATAGGATGAATTCCTGGAGGGGAAACTTCTAGGTCAAATTTTATGTGCATTTCCAGTTTTGATAGATATTGTCAAAGTGCCCTCCAAAGATATTTCGCCAACAATATTTTTATACAATATTTCAACAACAATATTGTTACCAACAGCATGCATTGGCCAATTTTTTATCTTTGGTATTCTGACATGTAAAAAAGAATGTCACACTATTGTTTTAATTTGCTTTTATTGTTTTACTCCACATGGACTAAGCACCTTTCTGATGTTTATAAACAAATACAAATGTATGTATATGAACTTAATCCTCCTCATACCCCTAAGAGATAAACTGATAGACATTACTGGCCACATTTTATAGTTATGGAGCCTGAAGCTTAGAGAGATTATTAACTTGAATCAAGTTGCATAATTAATAATTGATGGATCAGGGCTTCCAACCCAGGTCTGACCTATTTTACAGATGGGGAAACTGGAACTCGGAGAAATTTTAAGTAATTTTCCCACAATCACTTAGCCAGTAAGTGGTAGAACCAGGCTTTAAACTTAGGCCTGTATGATTGCAAAACCCACATATTTCACTTTATCTTCATCTACCTATCTCATAGTCAATATGAAACAAAGTGAAAACGGACTTCACTTTGTTGTTGTTAGTTATAATAAGGGAGCAAACTTGTTTATGTTGTTAGCATAATAAGTATTTAGAGAATTTATGCAAGGATGGAATTTGTAACCCAGCTCCATTCATTTATTCATTCATTCATACACCATATATTTATTGAGTACCTACTACGTGCCAGGGCATTTAGCAGTGAGCCGAACAGACATGTTCTCTGCCCTCATAATCCAGTGGGAGGAGACAGTTAATACTAACTGTGATAAAGACAAGTGTCAGGGAATTATGAGAGCATGGAACAAAGGAGCTTGGTCTACTCCAGGAGATCAGGGAAGCTTCCCATGGGTTTTGACATTTGGGCTGGAGTCTGAGGGATAGGTAGAATTTAACTGGAAGCAAAAGAAGGAAGATGAATTTCAGGCAGAGAGAGAAGGATGTACAAATTCTCTGGGACACAAGGTTGAAAAATTGGCCACAGCCGGAGCTCTCACAGGGTCCCAGAGACCACATTACAGAATTTTACTTTTAACCTAAGGGGAATGGGAACTTGTTGATAAGTTTTAAGTAGCAATTGACATCAGATTAGTATTTTTAAAAAAGGTCACCTCCCTGGTGCCAGGACTTCTATCCATGGAGATACGGAAAAGACAGTATTCTCGTAAAAGAATTCCCACTGCTAATGATGCTATAGCTCCACTACCTAGCAATCTCTAAGAGTAGGAGAAATAAAGAAAAATTTTGACTTTTTTAACATCACAGGATCCACCTACTCTAAGCAGTCTTTGACACAAAGGCAGCCCTCTGAAGAGCCAATTAAAAAACAATGCCAGCCTATCGCTTAGACAATGAGCAAGCTCTCTCTTATCATCCACAGTAAGCTATCTCTCTTCTACTTGCAAGAATAATTTGGGGCACCTTTTTCCTCACCCCCATAAGTTTCAAAGAGAAATATGTTCATTATGTTATGAACAAGCCATAGACTGCCACAATTTCAGTGCCTGCAAATATTACACCTAAATATAGCCATGGAGTCATTTTTCCAAAATCTGAATATAAAGCCCCTATTTCCATCCTCCTTTTGATTGGAACCATTCAACCATCCTGGTAGATAATAAGTTTGCATGTTCTTCGATTGCATTTCATTATGCTTCAGTTCCCCTGGAGAATAAACCTTTTCCCAACAATTGTAGAGGAGAAATACTTCTGACGTCTCAAATTTCACAGAGTCTCAGGAAGACGTCCCTCTTCTGGACATCAAAGTCTTTTTTTTCCCTGGACATTGATTTGTTAAATAAGAGAAGTCAGGACCCCTTCGTGGCAGCCAAAATACCAATTAAGTTTCCTGAGCAAAAAGGAATCTAGATCAAAATAATACCATCTTCTTGGAATTCAAATTTCAAAACAACGAGAGAATACTACAACTCTCTTTTGCTTTTAGGATCCCTCCCTTTTTCATGGAAGTACCAGCAGTGGAGATTGGCTTATGGTTTTCTTGTCAGAACTGCCACAGAGTTTTGTGTTATTTAATTTTCAGCCTCAGACTGTTCAGTGCAGATGTCTCTAATGGTCATTTTGGTGTTTATTTCTTCCTTTTAATCTAGCCTGTGATTTATTCAGGATACTTTCTGGGTACTGAGATGAAATAAGACAGATAAGGTCTTTGACTTCCTGGAGTTGATAGAATTGATAAAATTTATAATCTAGAGGTAGATGATAAACAAGTGAATAAATAGGGTGATCTTAGATAACACTAAATGATGTCAATGATTAATCCAAAGCCATGGGATAGAAAGTTCTGGGATGTGGGAGAGCTACTCTACCTGGGGTGCTCCAAGAACTCTTCTTGGAAGGGGTGACTTTTGAGCTGAGAACAGAATAGGAGAAGGAACCAACCATGGGACATTTGTTCCAGGCAGTGAGGATAGCAAATGAAGTGACATTGCCAGGTAGAACATTCAAAGCAGCTCTCAGGGGACAGGGGCATACCTAGGTCTCACTCTTAGGAAGTAACCAGGCTGGTTTACAACCTCAGACCCTCACATTCCTACTCCAGTGCTGTTTCCACTCCATCACATTGGCATGGTCATATTGCCCTATTTTTTTCAAAAAAATTGTGCAGAATTATAGCCACAAAATGCTATCAGGATAACTCCCAAACCCAAATAAACCCACCTACTTAAAAGAATCTTGGTCCAAATCTCCCTTGCAGAAAAATTTCAAATAAATTATGTAGATACTCCACTCCAAAAGAGGAGGAGCATGACTCCCACTCATTATGCATGGGCTGTGCATGGTGACTTCCTTCCAAAGAATACAGGATGGAAAGGTGGGGGAAAGAGTACCCTTACCGTTAATAAACACTACTTCCACCAAGTGAGCAAGATCAACAGGAGTAGTCATAAATCAAACTGACGGCATATACACCTGATATGAGATGATCAAAATAGTACTTTACCTCCGGGGTCTTCCTCCCTAAAACCCCAAATCCCAGTCTAATGATGAGAAAAACATCAGGAAATTCCAGTAGAGGAATATCCTACAATATACCTGATCAGTACTCCTCAAAACTGTCAAGGTCATCAAAAACAAGGAAAGTATGAGAAAATGTCACAGCCAAAAGAAACTTAAGGAGATATGACAACTAATGTAATTTGGAATCCTGGATGCAACTTCTGGAACAGAAAAAGGAAATCTAAAGAAATATGAATAAACTGTGAACTTTAGTTAATAAAAATGTATCAATATTGGCTCATCCATTGTACCAAATGTACCCTAGTAACATAAGATTACTAATAATTAGTAATAATAGGGGAAACTGTGTGGGGGAAGGGGTAGTAAATAGGAACTCACTCTCTGTACCATTTACTCATTTTTCTGTAAATCTAAAACTGTCCTAAAAATAGAATTTAAATGAATTTAAAAGAATGTTGGTCAAAACAAAATTAAATTAGTTAGAAAGAAGAATGCCTACCATCAGATTTTGCCATTGATGGAATGGCACCCCCTTATAAATGACACATGAAAAATCAGATATAGTCATTTTGCAAAGTAGAGGGAAAAAGAAATGCTCTTAAAGGAGAAAGTGATAAACAATCCAATTTTAAAGAGGAAATTGCAAACTTCATCAATCCTGGGCCTCTCCTTACTTTCTCAGTTCCATGGTAGATTTGAAACTTTCTGAAAACATGCACACTTCGTAAAAGCAGAGAGTAGATTGGTTTCTTTCAATACCTAATTCTCTACAATATAACATAATATGGTCTATCAGCTAACCTTAAATAAAGAGATCAGCCACTTATAGAATGGCCCGTCTCTCAAGATGCTCTCAACAAGGGAAGTTTCCTCTGGATCCTACTAAGACTTCTCTAAATGAGTATTTCTTGCCTTATATAACACGGAAAGCTCTGTTTATCAATAGATCACAGATGGTAGATAGACACATAGATACATGCAGGATAGATAGATAAATATAGCTAGCTAGCTAGATAGATAAAGTACTATCCAGCAACTTGATATCAGGCTTGGTAATGCTCACCTGCTATCCTATCACCCAGAAATGGTTACAATAGTCTGGATATTAACCTATTTTTATTGACTATCAATCTCAAAATCAAAAGGAGAAAAAAATAGCCCCTGTTCTTATACCAAGGAAAT